CTAGATGATAGCACCAGCTGCACCACATCTCAGTCTGAAACAGAATCAGAAACTGAGCAGACAGAACCAGTAGCTGGTTGCAGCTCTTCTGAGCCAAGAGCTAAAAGGGGTCGTAAGCAGTTTGTCACTTCTGAACTTGGAGTGTGTCTAGACCGAACAGGACTGTCAGACAGAAAAGCTATGATGGTTGTGGCTGAAACTGCAAAAAGCCTAGGATGCAACCTTGAAAACTATGCACTAAATCGTAGCACAATACAGAGACAGAGAAAAAAAATCCGCAAAGATGAAGCAGCCCGTATCCAGGAAAACTTTGACCCAGATGTGCCTCTAGTTGTTCACTGGGATGGTAAACTTCTAGAAGACCTCACAGGAACCGAAAAGGTTGATCGATTGCCAGTACTAGTGACAGGAAATGGTGCTTCTCAGTTGCTTGCTGTTCCAAAACTTCCAAACAGTAGTGGACAGGCTCAAGCTAATGCTGTTATGGATACACTAAAATCATGGAATATAGAGCAGCAAGTGTGTGGCATGTGCTTTGACACAACAAGTTCTAACACAGGACGTAAAAATGGAGCTTGTGTTCTGGTGGAGCATATTATAGGCAAGGAGCTACTGCATCTTGCATGCCGCCATCATATAATGGAGTTGATAGCAGGTGCAGCATTTACTACATGCTTTGGTCCAAGTTCTGCTCCAGAAGTTGCTATATTTAAGAGATTCAAAACACAATGGAGTGAAATAGACAAAACCTCATATCAAGATGCAACTACTGATCCTTACACTGCAGAACATGTTAAAGAATTCAAACAGGATATAGAGGAATTCATCAAAGAACAACAGCAACTATATCATGCCAGAGATGACTACAAGGAGCTGTTAAAGCTAGTCTTAATCTACATTGGAGCAACTGCCACACAGCCACTGAGATTTCTTGCACCAGGTCCAGTTCATCATGCAAGGTGGATAGCCAAGGTCCTCTACACCTTCAAAATCTGGTTGTTTCGAGCACAGTTTCACCTTACAAAACGAGAAGAAAAAGCTCTTCGTGACCTCTGTCTCTTCTTCTCAAAGCTGTATATAAAGTCATGGCTCACTTGCCCTGATGCTGTCAGTGCTCCAAGAAATGATCTCTCCTTCCTCCAAGCACTGTTAAACTATGGAGATATCAATAAACCCATTTCTGACTCCACATCAAAGAAGCTGTCAAAGCATCTCTGGTATCTGTCAGAGCATCTAGTAGGGTTAGCGCTATTTGACATGAAGGTACCGAATGACACCAAGGTCCTAATGGTTGCTGCAATGAATGAAGTTCAAAGTGACAACAGTGCAAAGCAGAAAGAAGTTGTTGATCTCCACTCTGTTGCAAATATGGACCTTCAAGACTTCACAACCAAAAGCACAGTTGAACTCCTAGAAGCCTTGCAAGTTCCGAAAGAATTCTTGAGGACGCCCTCTACATGGCTAG